CTTTGTCATTTCACTAATCTAGTCCTTTGTCATCTCTCAGCAGCAAAATTCCCAGCTCCTCAGAGGGAAACATGCCGAAATAAAGCGCAAGCCTTGGATTCGATGCTGCAAGATGTTGTACATAAAGCTGCTGCTATTTATCTTTTTCACTCTCACGCCTACAACTTACTTCTACTCACTCAGAGTGCTAACTGGTCTGAACCTCCATTACACAGAGCACACCGGCCTCCCACTCCCGCCATGCTAACAGTGGCAGACTGCCAGGTGGGGAAGAGTATGTGTGTGTGTGTGTGTGTGTGTGTGTGTGTGTGTGTGTGTGTGGTTGAAATGCACGGGACAAACCATCTCATAACCTGTCAACCTTAAGAAATTTGACACAGGGCTTTAACACTTCTCAAATGAACTCTAACCCTCTGAGTCACCACCGGCCGCGATAATGTGGAGCCACTGGGCAGGCAGTAATGCACAGTGCTGCATTCCCTTGCTTCCCATCTCCCTGAAACTGTACGACCTATGGCAGACCTCAAAATTCCTCGGCCTAAGATGTGAGCTCCCTCCCATTCAGCTTGCTATTAGCGTATTTCTCCGCACTCTACGCCACAGTGCCTCGCCTGTTCCCTGCAAACAGACTCCTTCTATACGGCATCAGTGTGCAGCCTGCCTAAGGGGGAGGAGGAGGAGCAGCAGAGGGGAGGAAGAAGGGAAGGCTGGGAAAACAAAGCCTCTATAGTCGTCTCTCCAGCCGGGCCAGGCCGAGCCGCACTAGCGGGGGCGAGTTATGTAATGTGACTGGCAGGGCCCACTTCCCTGTTCAGAGCTGCTGCACACACTAATCCCCACTGAGGAACAAGCCCTGCTTTGGAGGAAGAGGAGGAGATAGAAGGGGAGCTGTGAGGGAACCGGTGGAGAAGGTGTGATTACAAGAATTTCAGCCTTTCATCTGCACCAAATTGAACACACAGACACCTCCCCTCTCAGCTCCTCTGCTAAAAGATAACAGTCAAAAATGATATCCGCACTGCTGACGGCTGGCTATAGCATGGAAAGCAGACACCAGTCTCACCAGACGATTTGTTACAGGTAAATAAAAGGTGGTTATAGTTCACACGTGGCCTAAACCTTTAACAGATATGTATAATAATTCTATGGGCTAAATATGGTCGTCACATCTGCAGTGTTGATTTCATACTGGGGACTCAATAAAGCATCCGGTGAAGACACTCATGTCTGGTGTGGTTGGACTTTATTCAGTCATGTTATAAAAACATAATGCTTATTATGCAACAGCTTAAGTACTACAATCTTATTCAAGCATCTCTGCAATAGAGAACACAGAAATTTATGTGTGAAAGGGCCTCTAGACACCACTAATGTCTACTACATTAGTATACTGTAGTGGCTCTATATTCACACGTTCATACTGAGGCAGCGCATTGTCAAATGCACATGAAACCAAGATAGGGAGGAGGTAGACAGATATGAGGCATGAACTTAATGATGCTGAGAGGAAGTGACACCAAGACAGACCATAGTCAAAGAGAAACACACAGAGAGAAGAAAAGGACAAGTGATTACGAGGCACCCAAGTCAGATCCGCTAACCATGGAGACCAGGTAGAGGATTTAAAGCAGTTAAAAATAAAAGTCTGATTCTGATTTACTTAGCTGCTTGCCTGGAAACCATGTGACTGGCATCACATGAGGAGAGGGAGGAGGAGAGTGGCAGAGGGTTTGTGTGTGTATGTGTGTGTGTGTGCGTGTGCGTGTGCGTGTGTGTGTCCAGCCCCCATAGGCACACACACACACAGCATGTACTCCACTCCTGGCACCATAATAAGCTTTGTGATCAGTTTCCTTGGTTTCCACTGACAGTAAGCAGATATAGGCAGCTCGGAGAGGTAAACAGTAGCAGCTCTTTCTGGTGCACAGCCACAGGCACACAGACACAAGAGAGTCGGGTGGGAGGAGGGTAAGAGAGTCAGAGATGGAGGGAGAGAGAGATGAATTTGTGCAGAAGAAGAGGGGGATGAGCCAGTGTTGCAGCTGTTGTTTAGAGCTCTGTATAAATAAATAAATAAACAAACAGATTTTCCTGTTAATTTCTTCCATTCTATTTTGATCAGAAACTATAGATTTTTATGATCCTGTGATCAATCTATACATTTGTCCCTTTTCTCAATAAACATCTATGCTAAATGTTGTGTGTATGCAGTGTTTACTTGTTTTAAGTGGAAAAGTGCAAAAATGATACTGTTGTGGAAATACAGTTGTGCACAAAAATGCTAATTTAAGTTAAAACGTAACATAGATGATATCTGGCTATAGTAGCTGCCTCAAGTCACAACAGTCACGAAAAATGTGACCTGAATAGTTGCAGTCTGTGCAGATCTGCCACAGTTTCCAGAAGTGACGTCACTTGTGACTCTCAAATTGAGAAATCACATCTACAAGAGGGACAGACTGAAGAAAAATACTGCACACTGATCTGAGCTTGGTTTGTTTGTTAAAGATTTCTCTGGCTACTAGATGTCAAGCTGTGGAAGTCACTTAACAGTCTGTGGGTTGTCCATGCTGGGTAGCTAACTCTAGCTAGCCAGCTGTCTACAAATATCAGGCTGACCTCTTATCAGTGCAAACAGTGGAGCACATGCAAAATATGTCTGTGAATGAATGACGACGCCCTTGCATGTGGTTAGCCATAACCCTGTACCGAGTACTATCAGAAGGACACCAGTCAAACAATACAAGCATTCGATCCTTTTTGCGCCGCTGGTCTGACTCTGGACCGCCCTGACTCCTAGCTGGATCAGCAAACTTCCAGTTGCTACTGTTTCTGGAGCTTCTCACCTCTGTCAGTTAAACAGCAGCAGCCACTAACATCCAACACAGAGCCATTAAATGGTCCCAACAAACTCACACATACACCGAAATAGCTCGACTCTGTCGTTAACCCGTTGATAACAGTTAGATGATGTTTGCATCACTGTTTGCATTGTACTTTGCTTGAGCAGCACTACACCCTCCTTTTTGTGGTATTAAAATGTCCCATTAAACTGGGTCTGCATTCACAATCTAGAGTCAGGGATTGACATGAACATTCAGCTCTTCAGATACTCATTCACTCATTCACATTTTTTAAGGTTTTAATGTTAATGTTTGTTTGTTTTTGTAGAAATAAAATATATACATATATATACATATATATATATATATATATATATATATATATATATATATATATATATATATATATATGTATATGTATGTGTGTGTGTGTATATATATATATATATATATATGTATGTGTGTGTATATATATATATATATATATATATATACATATATATACACATGTCAATAAATATATTATTTGCCATACATTGGTTTATTTGTGACAGCCCGCCACAATATCAACATTGACCGCCACACATTAATTTTCACTTTTTTTTAAGATTATTTTTTCAGCGTTTTGCCTTTATTAGACAGGACAGACCCAGAGTGAAAGAGGGAGAGAGGGGGGACGACATGCAGCGATGGGCCTTCCCGCGGCTGCTGCGGCAAGGATAAAGCCTTTGTACATGGGGTGTACACTCCACTAGGTGAGCTAGTGGGCACCCTGATTTTCTATTTAAAAAAATAAAGTAAAATGGGTCACATTTAATTTAATTGTAGATCAGGAGAGCTACAGAGACAGTAAGTGAGAGTCAATTTGCACTCACACAGTGACAAGGCTACCTGTTAGTCTCACACGGCTAACGTTACCTAGCGGTTATTAAGGAACTTGATGACAAAGTTGAGTCGTTTCAGTGTTGTGAGTTTGTTAGGACTGACAACATCTTGTTGTCAGGTGCTAGACACTTCTGCTGTGTTTGCTTGACTTAACCCCCCACCCCACCCCAGCCAAAGCTTTGCATATTCATCGTTTACTACCACTAAAGCTCCGGAGCCTAAAATAAGAGGTATTCTGGACAGCTTCATCTATAATTTTGCATAATCAGGATTTTCAAATCAGCGCTACAGTCACATTAACTAACGAGAAGATATATTTGTGCGTGTGCACCGCATGTGTGAGTGAGACAGAGAGAGGGTAATGGAGGGCTTTAGTTGGACACATGCTAGTTCTGCACTACAGAAGCTGTGACCTACTTTTCACAGTCTCCAACACACATACACACACCCACATACAGACACACAGCCTCTGACAGTCTCTGACAAAGGGACAGGAAAGCAGAGGTTAGGCATGCACTAAGCCCCATTCTTAATACATGCATTCCAGTGGATAGAGCTCAATGCTGCTGCGCTTTCAGCCTGCCTGTTGGTACAAGCAACTCCTGCACACACAGCCTCCTGCATGACTGACAATAAAGGGTAGAGCCTGATGCTTGGAGTATGTAAGCACACATGTATACAAGTACATCCAAGCACGGACAGTCTTTCTTTACTCTGGGTTACAACTTAAAACAAACAAAAAAAAACACACCACGCAAAACTGGTCGTTTGGTTAAACAAGAGGAACCCGAGTTGCCTGATGTTTCGTTATTGCAATGATGTCATTTACGAAGCTAAAGAAACTACAAATGCAAGACAAAGTAAAGGTCTTCACGTGTCACATGGGTGACCCTAACATAAACTCTATTTTACGAAGTATTACGGCTTCAGAGGAGCCACTACTCCTCAAATGGTAAAGTTGTGTATGCTCCAAAATGTATACAGATGAAGGATGATAAAAAGAAAGTGGTGCAAATGTGACGTTTATATCTTGTGTTACTGCGTTCACAAGAATACCAACACACACACACACACACACACACACACACACACCCACACACACACACACACACCCCATATGTACTATGACGCCAGCACAAACCGAAAGGCCAAAAAAACACCTTTTAAAAAAAAAAATGCTTCACTAATAGCATTTTAATGAAAGCTGCCTTGAAAGGACAGAGCATCAGAGTGATGGTTATATTTCTAATAAGATATTATTTGTCAACATACCGATTCCATGGCTGTGGGAGAATGTCAGTGGGCTAAAATCCAACGAGAAAAACACCTGCCGTCTTGAGTCCACAGAATCCTGAAAAACAAGATGAAAACAAGACCAAGCATTAATTACAAGGACAGCGCAAGCAGTTTCACATTCCTTGCGACGGATGGGTATTGGAGTGGATGCGGAGGGTCATGTTTCTCTTCTCAGGATCGGTTCATCCACAGTTCTCTGGCAAACTGAGAAAGGCCTTTGGAAGAAGAGGATACAGAAGAACTGACGTGCAGTAAGGCATTTGGTCCCCTTTTCGTTCACTCGACCCAACAATGGGCACTCCAAACCTTGGCTTTATTTAATATAACCCAGCTCTATGTGGTCATGATGTACCTGAACTACACATACAGGTTATGTTTACCATATTCGTGGGCTGATTTTTGGCTTACGCTGTACCTGCTAATAACCGCCTATAGTAATGTAAACAATTCAAAACAGTCTTTTTTTGTTGCAGAGCATGAGAGCACATGATAAATGGTACCAGATGTACATTCTGTATATACAAAATAGATTCAACGCAGCCCTAATGAACAGCATATATTTTGTGGTGTGTTGCCAAGAGATGGAAACACATACATTTATGAAACCAACAAGAGGATTAGTAAGGAACAGCTCACAGCTACAGGTATGACTGTATATCTGCTGAGGTCCATTTGTGTCAGTGTAACTGTAAAATTATGCTTTCATTGCTAGTCCTCAGTTGATTTGGAAAGCTTATGCAAGTTCCATAAATATGTCAACAACTGACGCTTTGCACCAAATGCTTTTTCAATTGGTTTCGTACTGAATCTATCATACAAAAATCTGATTTCAGTGTCACTTTGAATTAATAAATGGCTCAGAATTTTGTGTTGAAAAGTGCAGCTAAATGCTTCTGTTGTAATGTTCATTGCACCACCACAGTAGTCAGCAAGTTAACCTACTTTCATGTCTGCTGAACTAAGAAAAAAGGGGCAAAGCATCCCATATCTGGAAACTTTTACTTTTTGAAACAACAATTCACTCATTTTTCTAGCACAAAGCCTCTGAACTAGAAAGTAAAGATCAAAAAATTAATGAAACGGCATGATGACATTTCTGGGACGTGACATCATGGCCAGAAATGCAATTAACAGATTTAGTGAGAAGTTCATAAGTTTGAGTTTCTCATAGCTTAAATGTAAGCCAAAGTTTTATTACAGAAAAAGAGCTTAAATCCAGGGATGTACCAATGACTTTTTCATCACCCAATGCAGACTTAGATACCCAAGCTTCAGCCCCTTTCACACACATGCACTGCAAATCTGAATTTATGTAGACACTACCCGCAGGAGCTGTATGAGAGAACCCAAATGTCCAAAATCAGTTGGATCAGACATTTAACGGATTTACCCTGCTAGCTCCCTAATTTAAAGCCTGTGTAATGTCCGACTGAACAGTTGCGCCTTGCACAAAATCTCAAGAAAACAAACTTCTGAAGGTGAAGAAGGAGGGTCATTTACACGATGACGGCAATGGAAATGTCAGACTGGAGAGATGATGAGATTCAAAAACATCTGTTGGCGAGGGCAGAAGCCAGAATCTTCGGACAGATTCAAAAAATGGCAAGACTGTTGTTTATGACCAAATTACGACCCGGCTATGTGACCGCGTCATGTCCTTCCTCCTGCGTGCTCTACCCAGGTGCCACCTCTTGCATAAACCAAACAGAGTATTTCAAGTAGGTGAGAAGGCTTCTAAAATAAACAATCTCCTGTTGTGTGCTACATGTGTGAAGGGGAAAATCCAGACAAAGTCTGGACCTGTTTTTCTGGAGTTTATATGAGGAAATGGCTTTAGGATACCTTGCTATTTCCCCCAAATTTAAAGTCTGTAAACCTATCTGTGACTGCTTATTATTGTTATAAAATGTGTACGATAATGCAAGGCTTTAACTATGTAAGCATCGACTTTTCACGCTAGTAAAGATGTTTGCACACATTGTCCTTTTTAAGCTTTGGCAATTCTAATGATTGTGTTAAGAAGGTTTATGCAAATATATTGTCAACAAACAATCATCACTTATAATATTTAATTTACATATTATATTGCATTTATCTGTGTCATCATGTTTGACAGATTGTAAAAGTAGCACATACACAAAGGACTCCATAAGTCAAGGAACTGACTCAGTAATGTTAGTTATACAGCAAGGTTACTTAACATTTTCTGACATTAACCACCAGATAAAACCACCAGACTGCATCAGCAAATCTCTGGGTGTATTATGTTTGGTTGCTCTCTGAACATTTTCATATCTAGTCTGCAATAAGCAGCCAAATGGAGCACAAGAAAAACAAACCTAACCAGGTAAAGCTCAGTGTCCAGTTCAACTCATGTTCCTAACCTTTCTAGCTGGTCGCCCTTCCCCCAGTTCCCTGCCAACTATGAGGACAAGGGTTTATCAGGATTTGGGAGACAGGACATGGGGGTGTATTTAACAGAGGCCCAGTGCTGGGCTAAATTGGTGACATTCCAGTGATTACAGGGACTCCCCCTCAATGTGAACCCACATTTGCTCCATCAAACTGGCTTTAAGTCATCACAGGGGGGGACTGAGGACCAACAGTCAGTTGCAACTAGCTGTCAAATTTAAAAAGATTAAAAAAGACAGTACTTACAAATAACTGGGAATTTCATTATACCCCAAAGTCTACATAAATATGTGTGTGTACATGTTTATTATATGTAAGTTTCTTTACATCTCTGCTACAAGATAATATCAAAAGCGACCTGTGTGGAGGGTTTTACAGGATAGAGTACAAAGGCTGAAAGTACAGGCAGGGTGGCAGGTGCGTACGCGGGACAGGATTAAGGCCAGACCTCACTGGGATGGCCTAAGTGGAAAGGAGGATGATGGTTAGATGCGTATTTGTGTTTGTACTGGAGTGGAACCTGCGGGGCTTTCCCAGCGGGAAGCACAGGATTGACGGATTGTAATAATCCAGCCAGGAAGCAGAACACTACCCTCCCAACAGAGTTTTGGATACAGACAATCCCCCTTGATGATCACCTACAGAAACTGCCAAGAGACACAGTTTTAACCAAGAACTGAAAGCTATAAAAAGCCTGGCTACACCAGAGAGCATATCACTGAAAGCCAATCGAGAAACTTTTGGTCAACCAAGGTTAGTCTCTTAATTATAGCATTTGCTAACACAAAGACACAAACCATGGAGCTGAGAAAGAAAAAATAACAACAGTCAGTATTTACTGTACAAAGAACATTTCTACGATGACAACTGTCTGAAAGAGAAAGGGGGGAGCTGTTTTAAGTAAGAAAACTGATCACCTATACTTTATTTCAGTGACAATTTCACAGGTCTTCAAAGCCTCATACAAGTTGCTAATGGCTTAATACTGCATTTAAAACTTTAATATTTTTTTATTAGAGAAAATGACGAAAGGTTCTGTTTAATCTCTCTAAGTTTTCCTCCTACAACAGAACCAGACACTCACTTGCCAGTTTTTCATTTTACTTTACAAAACCTTACATGGCAATATACATCACACTTAAGAAAGCGCTCTTCTTCATGGGAACAAGAAGACTACATACAGGACACATTCCTCTGCCCACAAGAACTGAGATGCTGTGGATAACACTACCAATAGCCGAAGTACAGGACAAAACATCAGGAGGCAGTTGCACCAGCTCTTTGCAAGACCAAAGTCAGCCTGTTTAAAATGAACGTGTTTACCAAGTTTGCAACGTCACAACTGGGGGGGCTGTGTCTGAAAATTTCTGCAGCTTTATGAATCTGGCAACACAACATTTAGTCCGACTGCGAGGGTGAGAAAGGAGCCAGGGTTTGAACATCTCCCTGAAGTGCCCTCTTTTCATTCTTTACACAACACTTTGCGTGTGTACAACTAAGTGCATCACTATGAATGCCTTCCAAGAGAAACTGTCTAAAAATGTGTGCCTGTATTTAAGTGCCTTGACACACCAAGCCGAGAGTCGGCTGTTGGTCAATGTCTGGCCGTCAGTAAGCATCTGTCGCCCTAGTTTTGTAGGTGTGTCCCATACCACTGGCACGAGTTGGCCCTTGTCGGCCCTTGTCAGATGCAGTTTGACCGATTCAGCATTGGACCCAGCAGAACCCATCAGTGAGAGAAATAACTCTTATTGGCAGTTCAGCTCAGTGCACGAGAAAAGAAATGGAAGTGAGGAAAGCAAACAAACAGTCAAGAGGGCGTGAGACCCAAACAAACTTGTTACGCTAGGTTGTGTAGGTAATGTGCTAACTGGGGAACTAGCATCTTTAATCCGTCCTGTCGGTCTTCCGGTTACCCTTTTCTAATAGCGAATACACACTACTTCTGCCTGCTGGTATGGAGAGTTATTTGCTCCCACACTAAGACCCAGGCAATGTAAGGTAACAGAAGAGTCTGCCTTTGTCGCCATTAATTCTGCAATGTCACTTTGGTGTGTCTCAACCTTAATATCACGTCTCCCCCTCCCTGTGATGGCCTGCTTTTTATTCCACATCTGGGAGTGGCCATTCAGAACACAAATGCACCTTCTGACAATGTAAATCAAGCATTACCTGACCCTTTTATGAAAGGATGTCCCGATCATGTTTTTTTTTTTTTTGCCTCCTATCCCGATCCACGTCATTCAATATTGAGTATCTGTCCATACCGAATCCCGATCGGATACTTTTATTTTCCTTGATAATACAGCTGCACAGTGCAAACTTCAAGTACTTTAAAGTTATTAATATTAATACAGTGAATAGGTTTGATAATTAATTGGCTCTGGAATGCACTGAGAAAAAAAACCCATGCAGATTGATGCACAGATTACATTAATAAAATTATAGATGCATTTTTAGGCAATTCTGAGCAACAAGCAGAAGAATTGGAAGACATTTAGGAATTTAGCAACACAATCTGCCTTTTGCATTAGCTGAGGCTTGAACTGACAACCTCTGAGACTAAGAATCAATTTCTATCTCACCGAGCTAATTAGTCAGTGACAATTCATGTGTAGCTTCACAAATTGACTAAGCCAGACG